AGGGCTGAACGTCGCGGTCTGCCAAGCCTCGCTACTCTATTCCTCGGCCCCAACCAACTCCTCCCTCTCTGAGTACACTCTGAACCTGGAGTTCTGCATCGTGGCCTTCCCCAGCTTCGAAGCATACATGGGAAACGGGGTGATGCACATCGTGAGGGACTTCGTCTTCGTGGGCATGATGGCCAGCGCAGGCGGCTACATCGTCGTGATCCTGTACCGCCACAGGAAGCAAACAAGGGGCTTGCAGGGTGCCGCCCGCATGCAAAGAAAGACAGTGGAAGCGTCCAAGGCTGTCCTCACCCTCATCGCCATGTACGTCATCCTGTTTGGCCTGGACAATGTCGTGTGGATTTACACCCTCTGCGTGTCCCGTGTCCACCCCATCGCCTCAGACACACGCGTCTTCTTTGCCTCCTGCTACTCCGCCCTGAGCCCCATCTTCATTATCACCACCAACAAAAAGATTGTGGCCAGTCTGAGCTGCTGCAAAGGGAAGGACCAGAAACATCTCATTGCGGAGTCCACCGTCTCACACTTGTCACCTGGTCAGTGATGCCTGCAAACGCAGCTCAAACCCTCAATGGGAACATTTCTTTCTGGGTGACTTGTGAGAAAGGAGATGTAGAGCCTGCTGAAAATGCTGAAGTGATTTTAATCTGCCCTGTCGTCTAAATGAATGCACTACACATAAAATCAGAACTACAATTAGAATATAACATTTTCAAATAACAAGACGCAAGAAGGTTTTCAGAAACATGATCACGTTAATTTAACTAACACAGGGAACTCTTTCACTCTCAGTTGAAAAACAAGCTCTTGGGGTCTTAATTGGCAATCAAAGGGGATTCATATAGAATGGATAATAGGAAATACTTCTTTACACAAAGAGCTGTAGGTGTCTAGAATAAGATTCCCAGACAGCTGATTGAGGGCCAAAGAATGGACACTTTAATGAGACATGTGGATGAAATTTTAATTTCACTTAGGCATTAAAATAGCAAGACCCAAAAAAGACAAAACTACAAATAATCCTGACATTAATTTAAAATACCTGACAACACATCCCCCGTGTAATGAATAAAGAGACCAAGTGGAACACTTATTATTCAAGAATGAGTCTCCGAGACCAAGCCTTCTGATCTTCCATGCTCAAAAATCACTGCAGCATTCCAATCCTGAAAGAGTAGGCCAGACTGCTGGTGTTTTGGATCCATAGGAAATTGGAACTCACTCACTGTGTCTCACTTCTTCCACTGCGGAGGATGAGAGCGAAGGTGTAGCAGGAGTAAGGTTGGCTGTAAATAAGATGTTTTTTTTAAAACTCACTGCACATTTCCTCCACCACACCTAAGAGCATCTCAGTCCGTTCCGTACCTAACAGACCTCCTAATGGTTACCAGAGGAAACTCTAAACTACCCAGCCTGTCCTACACAGCTCTCTAGACATAGTGAGCCACGGAGCAGGTGACCGGAAACATTGCTCACAACTGGTTATCTGCAATCATGTTAGTATCAAGAAAGCAGTCTTCCTTTCTCAGCCAAGACATGGTCTTCTTCGACCATACTTGTGTTTATTTTGATCATGTCTTTTTGAAAAGCTGTTAATAAAGTTAATTCTTCAACTTGGTTTGAGATTATTTAAAATTAACTAAAATATTAATCACGAGAACCTGGCATTTTTATTAAATCACACAGCTTGGACTCAGTTGTCTACAAGGAATAATACTGCTCAATCAGCAAAACTAGCTGCTCATTATTTAAAATGGACATAACAAAATGTTTCTTCTCAAAGAGCTGTTAATGTCATAACTTATATTTTTTGTTGTGTATCAACATATAACATTAAAGCAGATCATACATCTGCCCATTCATGAAAATATCCAGCACCAAGGACTCATTTATATAAAGGACCCTGCAACCAGCATAACTTGATATGACTCAGATTGATATTTTAAGGGAAATTGTAGGAAATTCTAGGTGATTCTGTACTATTGTTCTTCCTGCTTTACACCCTCCATACTAAAAAATGGAGGAATGAAACACTTCAAAACTAAAAAAAAAATGAAATAAAATATTTCATTTGCCAAAACAATATGCCTCAATGTTGTTCACATCCATTCATACAAACAGGGAAGAAAATCAGGTATAGGATTATAATCACAATGAAAATATTACTTTGTTTTTCCATTACTAAGATAAAACCAATTCTTCGAACATATAAAAGAACTACAGTCACCTTAGGTTTTTGGAGTTTTCATTTAGATTTCATTTTCTGTTATTGGGATTGGTGCTCAGCTGTGAGCAATGGGTAGCATTTGGCAATTGTACAGGCTGACCACTTCCTCTGACATCATAGATTGTATCTGGTACTGTTTCAGAGTCACATGAAACTCCCAGAGATCACAATTAGTGAGCGTTATTGTTGTATGAATACTGTATACGGCAGCAATTAAAAACATTTCCTTTGGGATGTGCCAAGCTGACTGATCTTCAATCTTCATTTCACAGAGGCATTTGAGGAAATATTCACTGAAAGCAGGATGGCCAATTCGTTGGATCTCTCATGTCATCAGAGATATTAAAGCAATTAACAGCACTTTCATCCATTTTCTTGTGGATGTTTTAAAACAGGTGTCTGTCACGCCCTCTGCAGCCAGAGGGCGCTCCTTCTCTGTCCTGTCCCTAGTTTCCGGTCTGCTGTCCATCCTGTCCCTCTCTTCCTTGGGCTATATATTTCCGGGTCTTGCACTCTGTCCTCGCTCAGCATTGATGTTCGGATGTCCTGAGACCCGCCTAGCACCAGGGCGCCACAC